GCTGGGTTGCAGCTAAACATAAAAAAAAACAAGATTATGGCAACAAGACTGATTGATAACTGGCAAATAAAGGGAGAAAACATGGAGGCCATGACAGACTTTGTATTTCTAGGTGCAAAGATTACTGCAGACGCAGACTGCAGCCAGGAAATCAGGAGACGTTTACTTCTTGGGATTAGGGCAATGTTCAATCTCGATAAAATAGTGAAGAGTAGAGACATCACGGGAGCTCCTGGTGGCACAGTGGGTCAAACCACTAAGCTACTAAGCTTGTTGACTGAAAGGTCACAGGTTCAAATCCGGGGAGCAGCATGAGCTTCCACTGTTAGCCCCAGCTTCTGCCAACCTAGCAGTTCGAAAACATGCAAATGTGAATAGATCAACAGGTATCGCTCCAGTGGGAAAATAGCCTGGGGGCTATAACTCTTAATGAGAGAGGCATGGACATGGCATCTTTCCCCAGGGGATTGTTTCTTGCCCTCCTATAGGAAACTGGAACTCCCAAAGACCGAAACACAACAGATAACTCGAAATGGTATTTATTGTTCACAATGAGTTATCTTTCTCAGGCATAAGCTTGATGTTTCAACAGGGATAAAGGAAATATACTTTACAATCTCTAAAGTCCAAGGAGTTTGTAGCTGAGAAGCTTTTCCTGTTTCCTCTTTCCTCAGTGGCTGTGAATGCCAGAGCAAACCACAACCCCAGTTCAAATGGCCTATGTTTGAAGACCCAGGATCTTCCTCTGGTGCCAAAAGAACCGGTTTGAAGGCGCTTGAGACTTCCACCGTCACTCAGGTTGGTCTGAACATGAAGCATAAATCTCAAGGGTAAAAAAACCTCAGAACTGGTGCTGAGAGGTAATTTAAGCAGGGGCTTTTAGAGCCAAGTCTCTTACTCACATCCATCCGATAGAAACTCTGATGGCAGAATGAAAGAATGAGAAGCACTCCCCTCCTCCAGGAAGAGGCGGAGCCAAACAATACTGATTGACAGCTATAAACAACAGTTTAAATCTTGCAACTAACAGTTCTACACATAGGTGGTGCCACTCGCGCCATCACATATTTACTTCATTTCTACCCCGCCTTTCTCGACCCTGAAGAGGACTCAAGGTAGCTTACAAATCTGGCAAAAACTGAATGCTGCACAGGTAAACAATAAAATACAGATGCAACCCAGGTCACCTTATCAACAACAACAATGCTCAGGTCTTCCAGGCACAGATCTGTGGCTCCCTTATCAAGTCTATTCACTTCTTTTCTGACTACCTTCTATTTAACAAGTGTTATTGTCTTTTCTTGCTTTCCCATCATAGACCAAAGTACCGCATCCTCCGTTTAGTCATCTTAGCTTCTAAAAGAATTCAAGATTTTTTCTAGGATCCATTTATTTGTCTTTTTAGCAATCCATGGTAACATGGAACTCTTTTACACAACCACATTGCATATGAGCTGATGTTCTACCCATCTGCTTTCTTCACTGTCCTGCTTTCACAACCATAGATAGAAACGGTAAATACAAAGACATGGACAATCCTAACTTTAGTATTCTATGATATATATCCTTCAAGATCTTGTCTAATTTTTTTATAGCTGGCCTTCCAATTTCTCAACTACAGCCTCCATTCTGATTAATGACTGAGCCAAGGTGTGGAAAAACTTGAATTATTCCAACACCTGTCTACTTTAAAGCTATATAAATCATTTTTATTTTCTTAATGTTGAGCTATAAACCTGCCATTGCACTTTCTTTCTTTAGTATTCATTCCAAGACTTTGCTATTTTCTGCTAGTAATATTGCATCATCTACATATCTTAAATTGTTGATGTTCCTTCCTCAAGTATTCATGCCTCCTCCTTCTGCATCTAATTCGCTTTAGATATGTTATGTTCAGCATTTGAGTATAATCGATGAAATGGCTTAGCTCCTTACAAACAGGAAGCCATTCAGATGCTCCATATTCTGTTCTTAACAGTAGCCTCTTGTTTTTAGTACAAAACAATCAAATGTTAGGGCATACCCATTTCTTTAAGAGTAATCCATAGTTTTTTATCTATATAAATACAAATGTAATGTTCATTTGTGGGATTAACAAAACTCAAAACCACTGGGGGAATTGACACCAAATTTGGACAGCATACACCTAACAACCCAATGTATGTCCTTCACTCAAAAAAATTGATTTTGTCATTTGGGAGTTGTAGTTGCTGGGATTTATAGTTCACCTAAAATCAAAGAGCATTTTGAACTCCACCAATGATGGAATTGAACCAATCTTGGCAGATAGAACTCCCATGACCAACAGAAAACACTAGAAGGGTTTGGCGGGCATTGATGAGTTTGGGAGTTGTAGTTCACCTACATCCAGAGAGCACTGTGGACTCTTGGTCATGGGGGTTCTGTGTGGGATGTTTGCCCCAATTCTGTTGGTGGGGTTCAGAACGCTCTTTGATTGTAGGTAAACTATAAATCCCAGTAACTACAACTCCCAAATGTCAATGTCTATTTCTCTCCAACTCCATCTGTGTTCATATTTTGACATATGGAATATTTGTGCCAAGTTTGGTCCAGATCTATCATTGTTTAAGTCCACAGTGCTCTCTGGATGCGGGTGAACTACAACTCCCTAACTCAAGGCCAATGTCCACCAAACACTTCTAGTGTTGTTTGTTGATCATTGGAGTCCTGTATGCCACATTTGGTTCAATTCCATCATTGGTGGAGTTCAGAATGCTGTTTGATTGTAGGTGAACTATAAATCCCAGCAACTACAACTCCCAAATGACAAAATCAAATTTTTTGAGTGAAATACATACATTGGGTTGTTAGGTTTATGCTGTCCAAATTTAGTGTCAATTTGTCCAGTGGTTTTTGAGTTCTGTTAATCCCACAAACGGACATTACATTTTTATTTATATAGACAAGAAAGGAGATTCCATCTGAATATGAGGAAGAACTTCCTGTCTGTGAGAGCCATTCAGCAGTGGAACTCTCTGCCCCAGAGTGTGGTGGAGGCTCCCTCTTCCAACTCTATGATTCTATGTCAAGGTCTATTTCCCCCAAATATTACATTTTTATTTATATAGATTAGTGTTTATTTAATGGGAAGGGTGTTCTTACACTTGCTAAAAGTACTGCTGCTCCTTAGCAAAAAGGTTCTAATTCCCCATTTCTGTCTCCTGTCATCCTGAAAGTGGTCCATCTTTTTCTTTAAAAGCATGCCATATTAAATGCACATTTTAAATATTTTCGCAGCAGGCACCACGTGCTTTTTAAAACACATCTCAACAATGTATTGTCGAAGGCTTTCATGGCTGGAATCACTGGGTTGTTGTAAGTTTTTCTGGGCTATATGGCCATGTTCTAGAGGCATTTTCTCCTGACGTTTCGCCTGCATCTATGGCCAGCATCCTCAGAGGTAGTGAGGTCTGTTGGTGAAAAAAGAAAGTGCAAAAGCTGGGTTGCAGCTAAACATAAAAAAAAACAAAGATTATGGCAACAAGAATGATTGACAACTGGAAAATAGAGGGAGAAAATGTGGAGGCCGTGACAGACTTTGTATTTCTAGGTGCAAAGATTACTGCAGATGCAGACTGTGGCCAGGAAATCAGAAGACGCTTACTTCTTGGGAGGAGAGCAATGACCAATCTTGATAAAATAGTAAAGAGTAGAGACATCACACTGGCAACAAAGATCCGCCTAGTCAAAGCCATGGTATTCCCTGTAGTAACCTACGGATGTGAGAGCTGGACCTTAGGGAAGGCTGAGCGAAGGAAGATCGATACTTTTGAGCTGTGGTGCTGGAGGAAAGTGCTGAGAGTGCCTTGGACTGCGAGAAGATCCAACCAGTCCATCCTCCAGGAAATAAAGCCCGGCTGCTCATTGGAGGGAAGGATACTAGAGACAAAGTTGAAGTACTTTGGCCACATCATGAGGAGACAGCAAAGCCTAGAGAAGACAATTATGCTGGGGAAAGTGGAAGGTAAAAGGAAGAGGGGCCGACCAAGGGCAAGATGGATGGCATCCTTGAAGGACTGGATTGACCTTGAAGGAGCTGGGGGTGGTGACGGCCGACAGGGAACTCTGGCGTGGGCTGGTCCATGAGGTCACGAAGAGTCGGAGATGAATGAACGAATGAACAACAACAACAATGTGCCAATGTTCATATCAATAATAATATGCATTATTCTCTTTTGGCCAGGAATGTTTGTTGGTTCACATACCCTCACCCCCCCCCCCCCAATCTGAATTCTCAGCAGCAAGAGCTAAGCTATATTCAGCAAGGATTTCTTATCTAGAAATATCAGACTCTCGAAGTCGACAGTCAGATCTGTTTAGGGGGAAAGTGTCAGGTTAAACTGTTCTATGCAGAAACTTTGGGGAAAGTTCTTTGCAGGAAAAGAAAGGGAGCCCTACCAGCTGCCAAAGCAACATGTGAGTTGGGAAAAAAAACCAAACAAGATGACGAGGCAAAGGGAACTGGTGCAGAAAGGTCCAGGGAGGCCTGGCCAGACAGCCAACAAAGCGCTTCCCCCTGAGTGACTGGACTCGAATTTTCTAGCTTGTTCTTTTGCGGTTTTGAGGCATGAAAAAAAAGGAAAGTGAGTGGCGTAGATGCTTTCCTTGGGAAAGATGCTGAAAGAGAAGGGGGGCTTCCCCACAGATGAACAGCCACACAGAAGCAGAAAGCTCAGTATGGGGAAGACACAGAAGTAGTGGAGTGAGAGGGGCAGGGGGCAGTGCCACAAGGGGCAGGGGGAGAGCTATGGGCTGGGGATGCTCTGCCAACTGGTCCCATCCCATCACTGCTTCCCCACTTCTCACAGATTCGGGCTCCTGTAAATATTTAGAATATCTCAGGGAATTGAGTCAGCAGCAGAAGTGGATGTGTGCCCCCCCCCCCACCCCACAGCACCCCCTCCAAGGTGGAAAAAATGACACCATCATTTCTTAATACCAACAGGCTGACATCAGCATCCCTGGCAGGTGGCGATTGGCCACGCAGCCGGGCCAATGGAAGGACTCCCCCTCAGATAGGAGGAGGGGGAGAGCCGGAGAGCAATGAGTTTTTAAAAGTTGCAGGGAAAGCCGGTGGAGAGGCAGAGCCGACGTGCACCACGGAGAGCACCCAACCCCACTGAGGAGCAGCACCATCACTGCCACCAGCACCACACGTGGGCAACATGTCTGCAACACACTTCAACCGGGGCCCAGCCTATGGCATGTCAGCTGAAGTCAAGAATAAGGTAAGGGAAGCACTGCTGGAGGTGCTGTCTTAGCACTGGGAGTTCACTGGTGGTTCTTGATTGTGAGGATGGGGACAGTACCAATTGGCTTGCGGATCTAGTGGTATCAGGATGCTCGCAAGTCTAGGACACCTAAGTGCGTGCCATGGTCTTTCTTGGTAGGTACTGGCTAGCATCAGTCTTATGGTGCTGTCCAAATATTTTCAGCTACATCTCCATCATCCAGGGCTAGGTGACTGGGAGTGATGGGGGTTATGATCCAAGGCATTGTGTGGGAAACCAAAGTGAACCGGATCAAAAAAAGGCCACACATTCACATAATAATTCTGAGTGATGAATATTTCAGAGTGTGGGCTAAAATGTTTTGGAGTGAACAAAGTCAATGTCAATGTGACAGGTAGAATTTGTGTAGCTCTTTTTACAAATTTTTATTCATTTATTTATTTCTCGCACTTCTACCCTGCCCTTCTCAACCCCCGAGCGGGGACTCAGGGCGGCTTACAAAAAGGCACAATTTGATGCCGGCACCACAACAACAAGGTGAAAAATAAAACATATAAACAGTAATTAAAACAATCAATTTTACATCACAATCCCTAAATGCAATCTAGTGCTCAACGTTTACCAGCTCAGAGTCCGTAAATTCAAATTCCATATTGTCCAATCCATCAATTCTAGTCGTCACTTGTCCCTTATCTATCCGACAGATTACCCGAAGTCCTGGTCACAAATCCATGCTTTTAATTTCCTTCTAAAGGAGAGGAGGGATGCCGATGACCTAATTTCCCCAGGGAGTGAGTTCCACAGGTGAGGGGCCACCACTGAGAAGGCCCTGCTCCTCGTCCCCACCAATCTCACTTGTGATAGTGGGGCCGAGATCAGGGCCTCCCCAGAAGATCTTAAACTCCGAGGCGAGACGTAGAAGGAGATGCGTTCGGACAGATACGCTGGGCCGGAACCGTATAGGGTTTTATAGGTCAAAATCAGCACTTTGAATTGTGTTCGGAATTGGATCGGCAGCCAGTGGAGCTGACATAACAGAGGGGTGGTATGCTCCCTGTACGATGCTCCAGTGAGTAATCTAGCTGCCACCCGCTGGACTAATTGAAGTTTCCGAACAGTCTTCAAAGGCAACCCCACGTAGAGTGCGTTGCAGTAATCTATTCGGGATGTAACAAGAGCGTGGACCACTGTGGCCAGATCAGACTTCCCAAGGTACGGGTGCAACTGGTGCACAAGTTTTAATTGTGCAAAAGCTCTCCCGGCCACCGCTGAGACCTGGGGTTCCAGGCTCAGCGATGAGTCCAGGATCACTCCAAAGCATGTATGTTTACCTTGAAGTCACCTGTCCACCTATGGTGACCCCATGAGTTAACTAGGGTTTTCTTAGGCCAGGAATATTCAGATATGGTTTTGACAGTTCCTTTATGTAGCACCTGGTGTTCGTTGGTCATCTCCCATCAAGATACTACTCAGGGCTGACTCTGCTTAATTTCCAAGATCAGACAGGAACGGATACCTCAACACTATTTAGGCATAGATAACAGCCTGGGATGATCCTATTTTCCTGAAGGAGTCGGAGGCACCAAAAGCTAGTTTGCTATAAGTGGATTCAAGGCATCAAACGAAAGCAAAGTATTATTCTTGGAACACACATGTTCAAACTGATTCACAAACATTCTTTCAGACTCATTAATCCTTACAAGACATCTATATAAATAAAAATGTAATGTTCGTTTGTGGGATTGACATAACTGAAAAACCACTGGGTGAATTGACACCAAATTTGGACACAATACACGTATGAGGCCAACAAGTGACCATCACTCATAAAAACACTGAAAAACACAGTGGAAGAGACTTAAAAACCCAAAAAAATTTACAATGCATGTGCAAAACCACACACATACACACATGTATACACATATACACAAATATATATACACACAAAACACACATACACAGACTGGGGCCGCAGCAACACGTGGCAGGGGACAGCTAGTCTATATAAATAAAAATGTAATGTTCGTTTGTGGGATTAACAGAACTCAAAAACCACTGGACGAATTGACACCAAATTTGGACACAAGACACCTAACAACCCAATGTATGTCCTTCACTCAAAAAATTGATTTTGTCATTTGGGAGTTGTAGTTGCTGGGATTTATAGTTCACCTACAATCAAAGAGCATTCTGAACCCCACCAACGATGGAATTGAACCAAACTTGGCACACAGTTCTCCCATGACCAACAGAAAATACTGGAAGGGTTTGGTGGGCAGCGTCCTTTGGTTTTGGAGTTGTAGTTCACCTACATCCAGAGATCACTGGGGACTCAAACAATGATGGATCTTGACCAAGCTCTACACAAATCCTCAATATGCCCAAATGTGAACACTGGTGGAGTTTGGGGGAAATAGAATGTTGACATTTGGAAGTTGTACTTGCTGGGATTTATAGTTCACCTACAATCAAAGAGCATTCTGAACCCCACCAACGATAGAATTGGGCCAAACCTCTCACACAGAATCCCCATGTGGGCCACAGCAATGCGTGGCAGGGGACGGCTAGTATATATATATATATATATATAGAGAGAGAGAGAGAGAGAGAGAGAGAGAAAGCGCAAACCTACAACAACCCAGTGATTCTGGCCATGAAAGCCTTCGACAATACATTGAACAATGTACAGTTATACTGGGAGTTGAAAAGATCTAAATGTCTCTCTTGTCCAAGGATAATCCACACTTTCTGCAGGTTTAAAGCCAAGGTGTTGTTCCCCAAATAAGAATGTTGTACCACATGACATTTTCCTTCCTTCAATACCCAAATTACAATAACTCAGTTTAGCAGTTTAAAGATAGAGTTTAGGCATCCAAAGCAAAGGGGCAGGCACAATTCCCAAGTGAATGCCAACACAACAAATGGAGGATTTCTAAGTGGATTCCATCTGAACATGAGGAAGAACTTCCTGACTGTGAGAGCCGTTCAGCAGTGGAACTCTCTGCCCTGAAGTGTGGTGGAGGCTCCTTCTTTGGAGGCTTTTAAACAGAGGCTGGATGGCCATCTATCGGGGGTGCTTTGAATGCAATTTTCCTGCTTCTTGGCAGGGGGTTGGACTGGATGGCCCATGAGGTCTCTTCCAACTCTAGGATTCTATGAAACGATTTTCAGTGTCTCACTTTCTGCAATACTAGCAATTTGAGGACTGAAATAACATTTCATGAAGGGAGGCAAAAATCTTATTGGTGGGTCAATACCATCAACCCACATATAGATATAGATATAGATATATACATATAGATATAGATGGCTACAGAGGCGGCCCTAGGTAATTTTGGCACCCCCCCCCCCCAATCAATCACTGATATATATTTTCTGTTCGTCGTGGGAGTTCTGTGTGCCGTATTTGGTTCAATTCCATCATTGGTGGAGTTCAGAATGCTCTTTGATTGTAGGTGAACTATACATCCCAGTAACTACAACTCGCATATGTCAAGGTCTATTTTCCCCCAAGAGCGCCTCAAGAGCGCCCCTGGGCAAAATCAACTATACTGTAAATGCTTACTTTGAGTAATGGGTTGAGCCGCCCCTGGATGGCTACAACCCTGACCAGGCCAAAACCTACATCTTCTAGGCATCCACACACTTCTTGCTTGGACAAGCAATTCTTCTCCTTGCAGGTTAGGTATCTGAGGGCTAAGGAGATTCATTAGGCCCAACAAGTTCATCCCAAGAAGCTGGCAAGACACACTGCAGCACCTTGCAGTGGTCAGCAAGAGTTGCCAAAGCACATAAGTGTGCAATACAGTTGCTGAGATAGGATATCCGCCAAGAGAGTGCGCTGACTGTTTCAGTTGTCTGGCTGTTGTTGCCATTTGGATGGCGAAGGATGAGAGTCTGACCATTCCATGGCTTGAATTACAAGGTGAACAGACTCTTCAAACTTCGTTCTCTTCATTTTCAGAGGAGTCCCTGGGGGTAGCCTCTGCTCCTTCCTCGAGAAGCTTCTGGGTTGCTTGGGAAGCCTTCTCATTCAGGATTTCACAGCCTCTCAATTGGAGGAGGCTTTTCTTCTCCCATTGTCCTCTGCCTATCTTATACTATGAGAGAGAAGGAGAGCATGGGCAAATATTGATGCTTACTATTGGAATAAAGATACTAGATACTTTTTCAGAGGGTCAGTGTCAGGAGGCATTAATTACAGATTTTGGACCAGTCCAAATAGATGGCCAGAACACTTAGAACAGTGGTTCTCAACCTTGCTAATGCCATGACCCCTTAATACAGTTCCTTATGTTATGGTGACCCCCAACCAGTATGGTTCTCAACCTTGCTAATGCCATGACCCCTTAATACAGTTCCTTATGTTGTTGTGACCCCCAACCATACTGGTTGGGGGTCACCACAACATAAGGAACTGTATTAAGGGGTCATGGCATTAGCAAGGTTGAGAACCACTGTTCTAAGTGTTCTGGCCATCTATTTGGACTGGTCCAAAATCTGTAATGAATGCCTCCTGAGTTTTCGTTGCTACTTGGTATCTGTCATTTTACTACTGTTATAAATCGTAATGTAAATATCCGATATGCAGGATGTATTTTCATTCACTGGACCAAATTGAGCACAAATACCCAATATGCCCAAATGTGAATGCTAGTGGGGTTGGGGGAGGATTGATTTTGTAATTTGGCAGTTGTTGTTGCTGGGATTTATAGTTCACCTATAATCAAAGAGCATTCTGAACTCCACCAGAGATGGATTTGAACCAAACTTGGCACACAAAGCTCCCATGACCAACAGAAAACACTGGAAGGGTTTAGTGGGCATTGACCTTGAGTTTGGGAGTTGTAGTTCACCTATATCCAGAGGAGCGCTGTGGATTCACGCAATGATGGATCAGAACCAAACTTGGCACAAATACTCAATATGCCCAAATGTGAACACTGGTGGAGTCTGGGGAAAATAGACCTTGACATTTGGGAGTTGTAGTTGTTGGG